CTTTTATTGATGTCGAAATTCTAACACAAATAATGGAGACTTTTTGGTGTCCTGATTGTCGCTGTGGGCCTGTGACCATGTGATCATGAAGGACAATTTGGAATCCAAAAAATATTTGCTTCGCAGTTGATTCTTGAATGTTCAGCTCAGAATTGTAATTACTCAAGGAGCTTTTATACATCAGGAACTGTTCATAATGGTAAAGCTTTTGAGGTAAATCGCAGAGCTGTGTTGGGTGGAAGAAACATTGGTATCGGTCACAGAGGACCCTCAAAATCCGCTGGCACCATGAACATGCCACCACCATGAATGACAATGCATACCGAGATCATGTTGTTGCCATCCTTCCTGAAGTAGTTTGTAAAGCATGAATAATGCAAGTCAAGAAACCAAACAATTTTATGGAGTGGAAGAGGACATGGGAACTATATAATATTGGTATTTCTGCTGACGGGACATGGCGACGAAGCCTCCATGGTGGTACGCATAACCAAAACGAAGCATACAATGCACCCATTCCAGTCTTCCTACTGTTGAATTGGCTACCTATCTTGCAGTTGGTCACTTCAATGATGGATCCAGAACAATTTTATCTGTTTTGGAAAATCTTAGTGTTGACCCTGGAATCTATTCTACCAAAGCCTGTAAGAAGATTGATATTGACCGGATTTGGCGCTCGGGCTAAAAGAGCTCTGATGCATCTAAAAAGCGCCGCAGAAAAATTATACAGTAGAAAAAGGGGCATAATGAAACCCAGGAAGCAAAAGAGGAACCCCAGTATGAGGCTGGTGCTTTCTAATTGGGAACATGAACTTTGGTTCAAGTTTAACATATAAATCAAACTTCAGAGTGATTTTTCTCATTTTTGAGAATTTGAATGTTCCGAGAGCCAATAATTGCAATATCTTGAGAAGTATTTTACATATAAGCCTGAAATTTTCACTGTGAATTCATACAAGTATTAGCTGTGCAATGACCTATTATTTTCCTGTTTGACTACCCCAAACAATATTTAGAGCCTTTGGACAACATGTTGTTGGAGAATTTTTCTTACCAATTTTGAGAAAGGCCAAAATATATGAAAGCATTAGAATATCTGGAAAATAATAGGTCATTGCACAGCTTTTGTATTACACATATCACTTAGAAAATTTCAGACCCCTAGCACTTTTCGTTTAGGAGAAATCACTGTTGGCGTGACCAACAGTTTGACGACTTTAAAAATGGGTTGGGTGGGGAAAAGGGTGTGGCTCCTTAGCAACTGTAGATATGGACAAAAAATGTTTTGTAAGTTGAAGCTATTAGACCATTGTATCTATTAATTCAAATTAAATTATCAGAAAAGCACCTGCACTATGATAAATAGTGCTCTCAAAATAGCCCTATTTTGACTATCGAGCCACCTTAAGTGGTTCCGAATATTTGAAAAACATTGAAAAATATTAAAGTTAAATGTCATTGAAAACTGAAAATTCGCGTCGCGTTGCCAAATCGCGTTCGATCTGTATGGACCTTTAAGGTCCTGACACACCGGACGCGATTCGACAACGCGACGCGATTTTTCGATTTTCACTGACCGATAACTTTGATCCTAGTTTGAATTTTCCAAATATTTAGAATCGCTATAACATTTTGAATTACTTGGTCTACATATGTTTCAAAATTTGCTCTCATTGGCTGTTTTATTAACAATTCAAAAACTAAAAAACCGCGTCGCGTTGTCGAATCGCGTCCGGTGTGCATGGATCTTTAGTCGACTAAATACGGCAAGTGTTCCAACTGCGTTTTTCGCACTCAGATTTAAGGTTAAAGGTTTAAGGTTTAGAGTTTCGAAGGATCTATCTACTCTATGTCCCTATAATGATCTATAAATAAAGTATCTAATCTTATTTCGTCCAAAAGTACCGCAGTATCGTGTATTGTACGACATAGCAGTCGAGGCGCATGACGCCAAAAAGAAGACCGCTGCAAACAAAGGCAGATTTGACATGTTCCCGAAAACGCCAGTGTCAAAGTTCGTCAGAGCAGCGAAGTTTGGGACGACATTTGGAGGACTGGTGAAGAGTGTGCCCGCTTCTATGGCCGTCCCACAATCCCAAGAGCGCTCGGGGTCCATTGTAGCAGCTTTGAAGAAAACCGCGAACGTTGCCATGGAAATAGGATCGCCAGCGAAGTTGATGGGCAATGTAATCGACGTCATGAAAAAACCTGAAGCAATCGAAGCTAGTGACGTCATAAGGTAACAACCCACTGGTCTCTAAAGTTGACTGGATAGTGTACATGATGGATAATTTACATAAACTTTAGCTTTGATTCTCTCGGCTTGGCAACGTATTTTTTAAAATTACTTCGCCAATGAACTTAGTAGATCGATCGTTTTTGAAGCGATTTAAAACATTCGCAGTGCGTGTTTTATCAGACCTAAAGATACTCGGCTTCGCTTCGTATCTTTATATCTGATAAAACACTGCTGCTCATGTTTCAAATAATATATAATACGAGTGATATTTAGTTGCATAAGCCGTGAAATTTAGTGTCATGGTTTAGGGGTAGACAAATACATGTTAGGTTTTCAAAGAACGAGGTCACAAAGTAGTATATCAAAAGTTTAAAAGTAGTAAATGTTTCTGAACTGTGACTTGCATGGTGAATAATGGTAAGCGTGTATTTAGAAATTTAATGTATTTCATTACAGAGCAAAGAAAGGAGCCGCAAAAACAAGGAAAGAAGCCCAAGGGCAGGTTGGTTTATAAAATTATATTCAATTTTAAGGAGCGAATGATATTTATGGCGTGGGCTGGCACCGAAGACAAATTTTTTCGCGGTAAAAATGTCGCAGAACCAACAATTAAAAAGTAAAAAAAAAAAATTACCCAGCCTGGAATATCAATTAAAAAATAAATACCCATCCCTGGCCAAAAACATTACAAAAGGATACCATTCAGTTGTCACACATGTCCTTTATCAAATCAAATCAAATCATATTTATTTCCGTAGGGTAACCTCTTCAGTAATGTATCACTGGTATCAATGAGGGCACTTCTGTGGCATGAGTTTGATAACTGCCTGTGCAATTTTCTGCAGTCTAAAGTTTCATGTTGTCTGCACATGTACTTTCTTTGGAGACACCATTTGCCTCCTGACAAATCGAAAAATGATCAAGATAGTGACTCTGATTGATTTACATATTGTATTGACATATGACTGTTGACATTGCTTTCTAGTCTTCAATATTTGAGTGAATCATGCTTTGAAAATGACAATAAATTTTTATTATACCCAACCCTTGTTTTGTTTTTCATTTACCCAACCTTTTACTCACTCAAAATTTTGTTTACCCAACCCCTTTCTCTTCGGTACCACCCCCACCATAAATAATGACCTCTCGAAAAGCCCTCTCGAGCCTTTAAAGTTTCAAATTGAAAAAGACACAGCAACTCGTTCATTAAATGTTGAATTGCAAGAGCTCTTATTTCGGCATGCACAGTGACAAGTGTCTATTTTTGCACGACCATCAAGAAAAACCATTTCAGCTCCGTAATTCAGGTCGTGTTTCGAATGATCTACAGCGCAATGCGCAGTGACGAGTGCGAATGTTATAAAATTTACAAAAAATTACAATAACGACAACCGTACCGTTTCTCGAGGTTTTTGTGAATTTGGCAAAAGGACAAAAGAATATTTAAATAAGACAACTGAAATTGCCTCAATAACCTTCAAAGCACTAAGTAGAATAGATCAAACATAAATCGTATACACCCCCCCGGAAAGTTTACTGTATGACTGAATGAATGGCTCGTTTGAATTTTCGCCACTCATCACAATACTGTAAAGTTTCGAAGAAACTTTACACTAAAAATTAGCTTCTTTCTGGACCAAATACAGTACGAATGGTTTTTAGACCTAATGCGGAACGAACGAGGTGGAAGGCGTAATGATTTTAATGTATTGAAATAAGTCTACTATATAATCTATCACTGACTAGTAACAAAATTGCATTATTTTCCTACGAACCGTGCCTTATTTCAATTCGTCAAAATTAACCTGTCTCACATCTCGTCCAAGCAAAGAGGAATCAGAATACTTTTAATCACAAATACTGGTGTTTCTCGCTTACAGGAAAAAGGAAAGAAGCAGTTAACAGCAAAGGAATACAGAGTACTGAAGAAAAGGATGCAGGCCGCTGGAAAGACCATCAGACCTCTGGACTGATGTGATTACAAATAATTTCCAAACTTTATCTTCGAGTTCGGTTTTGCATTTCACGTTGTACGCAATGGTCGCCTTTACAAATAGCGTGAAATCGAGAAAAAGTATTAAATAGTTGTCAAACAGATGAAAAGAAATATTAACAAATAATTGTATCAATAGTAACAAATATTGGGTTTCATATGACATTATGTGGGGTCTAGGGTTTGTGTCACGGACGGCCTTTTTTATTGTTTTCAAAAGCAGGGATGGATTTACTGGGGAGGGGGGGGGGGATGCACCCCCTAACCCTGGCCAGAGGGGGTGCAGGGGGAGATAAGTAATTTGAGTAATAACAAGATGATAAGCAAACTGTGAACAACAATTACAATTCAAATACAGTAGTCAAGCAAGACTTTGCAGTAGTGAAGCAAGTTGATGGGCGGGAGGCACACATGACCGACACAACTCGGCACCAGAGTTGGCAGAGCACCCCCCCCCCCCCCCCCCCCCCCCCCC